CCTGGCTCCTCTCTGCCTCCGACACAGAGCCCTCATCCGAACCTTCCCCAGACTCCAGGACTGGCCCAGGTTCCTCCCCAACCCCCTCACTGTCTGAGTCTGCCACCATTCCACTAGTGGGCCACAACACTTGGCCGTTTCTAAACGAAAGTCTCCAAATATGCTTCTCACTTCCAGCCAGGATGCCAAAGGTTGACAACCATGGAAGATGAAAATTTGGGACTGTTGAGACCCAAAGGGCATGTCGCCTTCAAAACAGTTTTATTGGGCGTGAAGTGTTCTACTCTCTCTCTCTCTCTTCCCCCCAGGCTGTGAAGTGGTGCCAGATGTCAACATCTCTGGCCAGAAATTCTGCATTAAGTTGCTGATCCCTTCCCCGGACGGAATGAGCGAAATACACCTGAGGTGTGCGGAGGTAAGTGAGACAAAGATGGGAGGGAAGGAAGCCAAATTTGGAGCGATTGTGGGGCAGAACCTTGAGTGGACCTCAAATACAAGATCTAACTGAAGGATCTCACAAGCTGGAGCTTCAGGACTTCAAGAAGTCCTAAGAGGTCCACCCCGTGTGGAGACCACCCAATTAGAGAGCTTGTACTTAGAGGTGGGGTTGAAAAAATTTAGCAACCGCTTCTCTGCCCGGTTGCTGGGTGGGTGTGGCCATAGGGGCATGGCCTAGTTGGCTTCCTGCATCACGGCGGCAGGGGGGGATTTTTCAACCTCCCCAAACTCTGTAGGCTTTGCTCAAAACGGGTCTGTTTCCGGACTTCTGGTAGGTCCGTTTTTCACCCTGCCAGAGCCTCCATGTGGGCCTTGCACTTACTGGGCCACATGGAGACTCCTGGGAGGGGCAGGGCGTGGCCAGCCACTCCTTGTAACTACCGGTTCGGCGAACCAGATTAAAATAAACATCCAGTTTGCCCAAACCGGTCCAAACCAGCTGACTCCCACCCCGCTTGTATTATGAAGCTGTAGGAACGGTTGAAGCATCTTTCTCACCCTTGTCCTTAACCAGGAGCAGCAATACGCCAGTTGGATGGCCGGCTGCCGTTTGGCAGCGAAGGGGAAAACCATGGCAGACTCGTCCTACCAAGCCGAAAAGGAGAACATTCTCTCCTTCCTGAAGTTGCAGAAAACCAATCCGGAAATGTCCCTCACTGCCGAGACGGAAGGGACCCAATGGCTCATGTCTCCTCGCTACCAGAAGAAGTTCAAACCTAAGCAGGTATCATTCGTCCTCCAGGCGGCCGTTGTAATTTCCCACAATCCCCCCGGAGGGAGGCTGCCTTAGGATCATGGGAAATGAACAGGGCTGTTGGATACAACCGGGTCTGCTTGCTCGGAGTGGTAAATAGAATTGAAGACAAAACTTCAATTGAAGTCATCCTTATCGTGATCATTGTCACTTCCTTCTTCCTCTTCCTCCTCACTTTATATCCCACTAGTGCCGATAACCTGGCGTTGCCCGGGTATTTATTGATAGGGGCAAAATGTCTGGACTAAACGTAATTTCTAATGNGCAGTTTCTGTAAGCAGGGGAATAAAAATTAGCTAGAAACAACACCAGAAGGTTTCCTTTCTGCCTTCCTTACAGGATTAGCCCTGTAAAGTGAAAAAACAAAACAAAAGGAGATTCCTTCCAACAATCGGTTCTCCCAACTGCTTAGACAATTAACAACCGGTTCTGCCGGATAGGTGCGGACTGGCTGAATCCCACCACTGCTTCAAAGTCAGCAATGGCAAGTAGAACAGCGAATGGGGGAAAATCACCTGTGCTGCGTGATTGAGATGAGCTAGAAAGCAGGAAATAAGGGACAGGAGAGGGCAGTGGCGCATGGGGGGAGCCAGCTGAGCATCAGAGCTACTGGTTTGCTCGAACTGGTCCGAACTGGCTGAATACCACCTCTGATCTATTCCATTATTGCTTAGCAGAGATAATTTTTTTTTCAGTGGATACGAACTTACAGCATTTAGATTTTATGCAATCTTTTGCTAGTCAGGATTTGAAATGCCATTTTCTGAACCCAAAAATATATGCAAAAATGAATGTGCTAAGGAAAGGTCGTATTAAAGAAGCTTATCTTTGAGACAACAAATGCAAAAGCTTTCAATAAGAGAAAACCTCTTCGCAAAACAGGAATATTTGGGAAGACAAAAATATGTACATCAGAGACAGTGTGCATGACAATCTACAAAATTTTATGCACACATTTTATTGTGAAGCGGAGGAGAGACAGAATGGACTATCGATAAGAAAAATGAGTAAGAGAAAAAATTGCATTTCCTGTTGTTGTTGTTGCTGTTGTTGTTGTTTTACTTTTTTAACCTAGTTGTGATGTTCCAAGCCTCAGGCAGAAATCTTTTCTAGCTTTGCAGCTTTTCTTACATATTTGTTCATTGTATAAATACACAAACACAGAGAGATCTATTTTTTAAAAGTTTCAGAACTAGCTAGAGGGAAGGGATGCCTGTGTTCTTCACATAGAGAAAAAAGATGTAATACCCTCTGGGGAAGTTACACACACACAAAAGAAGAAGATCATGCCCTTCTACTTAGAATTCAACTGTAAATCACTCAGCCTGTATTTCTTCTTGAGATGCCTGTTAGGCCCTTTGTGGCACATGGGAATCCAAGTGTGATTGAGAACAGTGGTGGGATTCAAATAATTTAACAACTGATTCTCTGCCCTAATGACCAGCTAGGTAGGCGGGGCTCGTTTGTCATATGACTGGGTGGGCGTGGCCAACTCAACATAACTCATGTCGATGGGCGCTACAATGTAATAAGGGGTAACTGGAGAGGCAGTTTCTGTAAGCAGGGCAATAAAGATTAGGCTAGAAACAACACCAGAATGTTTCCATCTTGCCTTCCTTACAGGATTAGCTAACAATCGGTTCTCCCAAATAGGTGCGAACTGGCTGAATCCCACCACTGATTGAGAACTGCAGAATACAGAAAGAAACTAAGAAAGGAAAGTATACACTCTTCATTCTTCTTGACCATAAAACCAAAGTCATTTCAGAATGCAATCTCCACATTTGAGGAGAAATTACCTGTGGTGGCGCAGAGGTGAAACTGTGGTACTCCAAGCAAATCCTGAGTGCCACGTAATGGAGTGAGCCCCCGTTACTTGTCCCAGCTTCTGCCAACCTAGCAGTCCAAAAGCAAGTAAAAAATGCAAGTAGAAAAATAGGGACCACCTTGGTCGGAAGGTAACAGCATTCCATGCGCCTTCGGCATTTAGTCAGGCCAGCCACATGACCACAGAGACATCTTCATTCAGCACTGGCTCTTTGGCTTAGAAATGGAGATGAGCACTGCCCCTAGAGCTGGAAACAACTAGCACACATGTGCGGGGGAATGTCTGAATGTGACTCAATGAAATTTTCAAAGAAACTACTGGTTAGTTGCTCCATTTAGAAAACATATGACTTTGTTTCTGTTTCTAGATGCTAAAACAATGTATGTAGTATGTACAAATAATCCTGCCTTTTGGATGATGTCAAACACTTGCTACAGCTGTGTTCATTCATCTCCTGAGGCCTGGGCTGTTCTAACATTGGCATAATAAAGGATGAAAGGCAAGGAAGAAGCGCTGGTGTGTGACTGTCACATTTGTTAACATCAACTAACTTGTCTTGTTGACTTGTACAATGGCTTGTGTCATGTGGTTAATGGCAAACTTAATAAGACATTGCATGCTGTCTCTGTAAGTCCATTAAAATATCAAAGAATCAAGACTGCAATCTCTCACCTATCACATTGCGGGCATTTGCAAAGTTTGTGCAAATTTCAAACAATTTGCAGTCTTCCAACTGACAGAATAAATGCCACTTTGCCACTTATTACTGGGCAAAGGACGCCTGGCCACTGTTATGATTTGCATCGCCCTCTAAAGTGGATAGAAATTGACTTCAAGAAACAAACATTGATTATTTTGGATGGGAAGAAATTGCTTTACCTACAAGCGGCCACAGTAATCTTTTCCGTTGTTATTCCCGATAACATGACAGGTATTTAGATCAAAGCTCACCAGATGTTCTCCTTGAACTTATTTATTACATATCCCTTTTCTCCTAGGTTTGTCTCTGCAAACAGTGGCAGCCCTTCATTCATTGAGCATTATGACTTAATAGGAATCTGAAATGACTAAAGCTTTCATCCAACTCCCAATCTTCCTCAATTCATCACAGGGCAATTTTGTTCTAATATAGAAATTTATAATGCTCTTAATTAGGTCGACTGACCAAAAAAGAGTTGGGCAAGCTATAATTGCATTTTGGAGAATTCCAGACTCCCGTCCCCCAAACCATCCTATTACTGCATTTCTCTGAAAATAAGACAGGGTCTTATTTCTTTTGACACCCGAAATAAGCACTTGGCCTTATTTTGGGGGAGGTCTTATTATTTTTGAGGTGCAGGAGGTGGCGAGCATGGTCACCTTAAGGCTGCTGCTGTATTGTAATATTTTCAGGGAGGGCTTATTTTTTGGGAGGGCTTATTTTAGCGCATGTGTTCAAAAGCCCGATTGGGCTTATTATCTGGGAAGGTCTTATTTTCAGGGAAACAGGGTAAGATTTCTGGCAAAATGGCTATTTTCAACAATGTGATTACCTTTTCCTTTTTCACCAAATGAACTGAGATCTCAGATAGGCTTATTGTGTGTGTTTTGAGCCCAAAGCTTCAAGTCCCTTTTAAAAAGCAAACAAACAAAGGGAGTAAAAAATTTAGCTGTCTCCAATTTTGTTCTCAACTTTAGCACATAACTGTCAACACTGAAACATAAGAAAAGCTGAATGAATGAAGAGTGACAGAGAGACAGACGTGGGTGCTGGGAAATATATGTTTTGAAAAGCTTACTCATTTGTTAGCCATTGTGTTGTGCAGCTGTTCTAGCTGTTCATCCACTTACATCTGTATGTGCAATAGATATCCATTGTTATCAGGGGTCAAAATAATAATTAACTTCTTGTTCTTGTTCTCAAAAAAACCCTACACAATTCTAGTCTACATAAACAGAGGGAAAGAACCAAGTTCACATGAAGTGTTGATACCACTTTATAATGCCTTGGTAAGGCCACACTTGGAATACGGCATCCAGTTTTGGTTGCCACGATGTAGAAAAGATGTGGAGACTCTAGAAAGAGTGCAGAGAAGAGCAACAAAGATGATTGGTGGACTGGAGGCTAAAACATATGAAGAACGGTTGCAGGAACTGGGTATGTCTAGTTTAATGAAAATAAGGACTAGGGGAGACATGATAGCAGTGTTCCAATATCTCAGGGGTTCCCATAAAGAAGAGAGAGACAAGCTATTCTCCAAAGCACCTGAGGGTGGGATAAGAAGCAATGTGTATAAACTAATCAAGGAGAGAAGCAACTTAGAACTAAGGAGAAATTTCCTGACAGAACAATTAATCAATGGAACAACTTGCCTCCAGAAGTTGTGAATGCCCAACACTGGAAGTTTTTAAGAAGATGTTGGATATCTATTTGTCTACAGTGGTGTGGGGTTTCCTGCCTAAGCAGGGGGTTGGACTAGAACACTTCCAAGGTCCCTTCCAACTCTGTTATTCTATTCTATTCTATTCTTTACCAATAGCAATAGCGCTTAGAGTTACATACCACTTCACAGTGCTTTACAGTACTCTCCAAGTGGTTTACAGACTCAGCATATTGCCCCCAACAAGGTGGGTCCTCATTTTACTGACTTTGAAAGGATGGAAGACCGAGTCAACCTTGAGCCAGTCAGGATCGAACTCCTGGGAGTGGGCAGGAGGTCCCCCGCAATACTGCACTGCGCCATTCCTCCACCGTGGCTCAAAATGGAAAGGAAAAGGAAATAGAAAGGACTGGCCCATCCCAAACTCTGCTAGCAGAAGAAACATTTTATGGGCCCTGTCAGTCAAGGAATTACAACTGACGGGTGTTGGAGAAGGGCCTTATCTGCCATAGGTCCTGTCCTTTGGAATATTTTACTCCCTGAGGTGGGAAACCCAGAGGTGGGTTTCTGCTGGTTCACCCCGGATCGGGCAAACCGGTAGTGGTGGTGCCAGGAGGCTCCACCCACTTGCCCAGACGCTTCTGTGCATGCGGAATGTCTATGGAGATTCTCACTCATCCAGGTCATGCTTGAACCAAAAGTGCTTTTCAACAGGCAACTGGACTTTCTTGGGTTTTTTCCCCCCTTAAAAACATTTTGCTCCTCATCCAAAAAGCTTCTTTAGTTCAGAATGCCAGTTGCCAGTCAAAAATCAGTTTTACTTGTATTAGAATGTATGATAGCCAGGAATCATACTGTTCACGCATTGATTTGATATATTTGTAAAAAAAAAAAAAAAAAGGAAACTTGAAGAAAAAAAAGAACGGGAGCTTATGTTTTTAAGGGCATTTGGCTCTGGGGAGTTTGCACAAACAAGGCCTCTTACGTAGCTTTCCATCTTGAAACCGCCCTGTCAGAGAACAACTTTGATGTTAGAAGGAGAAGCTTTTAATTCTTCTGTCTTTGATTCATCTAATGGCCCAAAGCAGCGATTGGCACCAGGGCTGGACAGAAAAGATTAAAAAGGCACTCTGGCAATCAATCTAAAGGCTTAAGATCTACCATTCAATGTATTAAGATTCATGGCCAAGATAAAACATCTCTGTGGGATAACATACTATTCTGAGAGCAAGAGAAGAAGCAATTTTAGNAGGACATGGGGATACATGATAGCAGTCTTCCAATATCTCAGGGGTTGCCCTAAAGAAGAGGGAGTCAAGCTATTCTCCAGGGCACCTGAGTGTAGAACAAGAAGCAATGGGTGGAAACTAATCAAAGAGAGAAGCAACATAGAACTGAGGAGAAATTTCCTGACAGTGAGAACAATTAATCAGTGGAACAGCTTGCCTCCAGAAGTTGTGAATGCCCCAACACTGGGAGTCTTTAGGAATATGTTGGATAGCCATTTGTCTGAAAAGGTATAGGGTTTCCTGCCTAGGCAGGGGGTTGGACTAGAAGACCTCTAAGGTCCCTTCCAACTCTGCTATTGTATTGTATTGTATTGTATCTGCTTTGATGGGAGAAGGTGTGCACACACACCATAAAAGGCCAAATGATTACGATGATTAAAAAAGGCAGGCTGGAAAAATGTTCCATGCATAACTCTTGCAATCATCCCATTCTTCTCCAGCATGCCCTTGGCACGGTGGTCTCGGCTACCAAGGCTTCGTCTGGCCTCCCTCAGCCCGGAGATGAGTACGATTTCTACCGCAGCTTCTCGGGGTTCCAGGCCTACTGCGAAACGCAAGGGGGAAGGCTGCTGCAGTGGTGAGTCTCTACAAATAGATTCCAGCGTCAAACGCCAAGGAGAGGCAGAAAGGGAGCTCTGTCTGCAAGTCATTTGGTCTATTGCCCAGATTAAATGATGCCATGACACCCAGAGAGGAACATAAATTGCCCTCCGTGGGTCCGGAAGCATTTGTCTTCCTGCACAGAGCATCCTTTCCTGCTAACAGGTGATTAACGGCCTTCTAAAGTCTCATTCTCTCCCATTTCCCCCCCCCCCTCTCTCTGCCTGTTTCTCTCTTTCTCTCTCTTTCTTTGTATCTCCCTTTCATGCTCTCTCTTTCTCTCTATCTCTGCCTGTCTCTGTCTCTTTCTTTCTCTGTATCTCCCTTTCATGCTCCCTCTGGCTCTCTCTTTCTTTCTTTGTCTCTCTCTTTCACCCTCTCTCTGCCTCTCTCGCTTTCTCTTTCTCTCTCCTTAGCATGAGTAAAGTGATGCAGTACCACGGGTGCCGGAGTCACCTTCAAGACCACAGCAAGGTGACAGAGCTGGAGGACAAATTCGACCTGCTGGTTGACGCCAACGATGTCATCTTAGAACGTGTGGTGAGCGTAGCAGCACCCTTCCGCGAAGGCTCCCAAGGGATTACTCGGTGGCTCTCTCTCTCCCTTTTCCTTATCGTGATCCGCCCGGCAACCCCCACAACTTCCTTCTCTGACATTTCAGGGCATGTTATTGGACGAAGCTGCCGGACTAAAAAAGAACCAGGAGCCGGTCCTTCCCACAGGCCTGCAGCCTCCCAAGACAATCATCTCTAGCTGGAATCGCAAGGTGAGACTCATTTTTGCTTGGGGTATTAAAATGCAGGGTTTACTTCTAGGCCAGGGGTGTCAAACCCACGGCCCGGGGGCCGGATCTGACCCACGGGGTGCTTAGATCTGGTCCGTGAGGCTGTCCTGGAAACAGCGGAGGACTGGCCCACACTTACGGCCTTCCCAAGCTCCGTTTTTCCTGGCAGAGGATTGCAGGAGGCTATCCCAGTGAAAACGGAGCTCGGGAGCCCATTTCGTTGCCAGAGCACTCGGACCTCTGCAGGTGCCCTCAGCAGGAGTGATGTTAACTTGGCCATGACCACCCTGGCCACGTCCACTCCACCCCCCCCCCTGAGGTCAAACACCACCTTAATGCGGCCCTCGATGGAATCGAGTTTGACACCCCTATTCTAGGCCGACTTTCCCTAAAATGGTTCTCTCTAGGTAACCTCCGTAGGTTACAGTTCACCTCCAGCTAGTTTGGGGAAGATGAAAGTTTTAAGTTCTGCAGGGGTCCAAGCTGACAATTTGACCAGGCAGGATTTTTTTTTAAAAAAAAATAGAGTTAGATGAAGTATGGCATATGAATTGGCTCTGTGATTCAAAAGTTATGTATTTTCAAACCTGAGCTAGGGGAGGAAATTTTAGGCTTTTATCAGCTGGGACTTTCCCAAGAGCATCTAACTGGATGAAAGCAGAGGTAGCATTCAGCTGGTTCAGACCGGTTCGCCATCCTATTTAGGCACGTTTTTGAGGCCAGTCACATGTGTGGAAGGCTCATGCGCGAGCAAAGTGCATGCATGGAAGGCCGGGAGGATGTGCGTCAAACGGGCGGGCGCGGCGAATCGGTGGTAACAATGTGAAACCCGCTGCTGGATGAAAGTCTCATCTTGGCCTCCAATTTCCCGTTTCCCAGCAAAACCGGGACACCAGCACGAGGTCGAATCTGGAGACGTTTCGCCTTCTCCACGCGAAGAACATTGTCCGCCCTCAGCTCAAGTTCCGCGAGAAGGTGGACAATTCCAACACCCCGTTTGTGGCCAAACTCTTCGTCAAGCCCAACGCTCTGAGGCCCTTGCCCCAAGGTGCGAGGGAAGGGGGAAACTGCGGGGTTAGACAAAGAGATCTACACTGTGTCCGGCTCAGGGGAGAAATGCTACTGGTTTGCGCCAGTTCACCCAAACCGGTAGTAAAAACATGTTTAACGAAGTAAAAAAAAGGTTCCGACGATCAGCTGTGCTGTGCGATGGTAGGAACTTTTATTTTATTTTATTTTTTAGCATTTGGGGTCCGTTTTTGTTTCCAGGAGGCTTCCTTGAGACCTGCTAGGCCAAAAACTGGGGGTTGGGGGTGCAAAGAAAGGAAGGGAGGGAGGGAGGGAGGAAGGAAAAAAAGGAAGGGATGGGAGAAAGGAAGAAAGAGGGAGGGAAGAAAAAAGGGAGGGAAGGCAGAAAGAAAAAGAAAGGGAGGGAGGAAGCACCACAAACCTGGAACTCGACGTAGCTTCAGAGGATACCTTGAAAGAGCACAGCAATCCAGGGCTAGAAGAAACCTGGAGGTCATCTAGTCCAACCCCCTGCTCCAGGACAATGTTAACGTGAGTTTCTGTCTTTGGAACCGCCAGTCACATGACTACAGAGCCACGCCCACAGAACCGGTAGGAAAAAAAAATTAGATTTCACCACTGGGCTGGCTGTTCCTTCCAAAGGCAACAGGCTGGGGATCATTGGCCATCCTGAGAGCACCAAGGTGGCTGGGCCTTACCGCTTGGTTTTCCTCTCTCCAGCACTCCTGAAAAGCCGGCAAGAGCGTAAGGAGCGTCCGGAAGATCTGGATGTCCCCGCAGCCCTGGCTGATTTCCTCCACCAGCAGAGAACCCAACAGACAGAGCAGGACATGTAAGGACAGGAAATTTAATTGTATTTCATTGGTTAGAGATGTGGTTAGAAGGCAGCATTGCAGGCTAATTTCGCTGACTTGCAGACTGCCGGCAGTTCGATCCTGACCGGCTTAAGGTTGACTCAGCTTTCCATCCTTCAGGGGTCCGTAAAATGAAGACCCAAATTGTTGAGGGAAAGAGGCTGACTCCGTAAACCGCTTAGAGAGGGCTGTGAAGCACTGTGAAGCGGTATATAAGTCTAAGGGCTATTGCTGTCTAGGAGTCATGGTGGTTCAGAGGTTAGAATGTAAGATAGCAGGCTAACTCTGTCCACAATCCGAAGTTCGATCCTTATTTGCTCAAGGTTGCATCCTTCCATCCTTCCAGGGTCGGTAAAATGACCCATATTGTTGGGAATAAGATGCTGATTCTGTAAAACCCTTAGAGAGGGCTGTAAAGCACTGTGAAGCGGTATATAAGTCTTAAGTGCTATTGCTAAATGTGTTACGGACACCATTAATTTTAATTTATTAAATTAATTAAGACTTTGAGCAGCTTTTAAAAAAATGATTAAAACGGTTAAAATCCACCTCAATGGGCAGCTGGGACTAAATCTGCACCAGGTGTTTTCATCCTCGTGATCTCCCACAAAACCTACAGCAAATTCAAAGCAGCATCGTCCTTGGAATTCTGGGAATTTCTTTAAATCATATAGCCACCCATCTCCCATAACTGACTCTGGGCAGCTACGTATATACCTCAAATAAATACATTTTAGTCCCAAGAGATCCTAATAGAAAGTTTGAGGATCAACCTATCGCCTTGGTTGTGTTCTATTTACTCCTGGTGCTACCATTTGCTGGTTTCTTCATTAGTTAAGGATCACAATCTTAGTTTCTGATTGTACTGTCTTTCCGGATTCTTGCAGGTTTGTTCACCCTTATCGGTACGAACTGGAACATTTTTCAGTGCCAGCAGAATTTCTCGAAAAGCCTCAGGTCCAGGTGAGCGCTGAGCCAAGTCCTCCACCTTCGTTCAGCTCCTTCTGGGCTCTGCAGCTGAAATTACAATGCTTTTCTTCCTTCCTTCCTTCCTTCCTTCCTTCCTTCCTTCCTTCCTTCCTTCCTTCCTTCCCTCCTTCCTTTCTCCAGATGTTTAGACCATTGGCGGAGACTCCCTGCCACTTCATTTCCACCTTGGAGGAGTTGGTGGACCTGAACGAGAAGCTGGTGGGCTGCAAAGAGTTCGCTTTGGATTTGGAGGTGAGCCTTTTTAGTGTGGTTCCACCACAAAACTGCGGTAGACTAAAGTGCGCTCGACGAAAGCGCGTACCTGACGTCATCACAGCGCGACGAAAACATCACGCTGTGAGCGGTAAAGTTAAAATTAACGCGAAAACCTTACCCTAACCCCCCCAAACCTAACCCTAAACCTAACCCTAAACCTAACGCTAACCCTTAACCTAACCCTAAACCTAACCCTAANAACCTAACCCTAAACCTAACCGTAAACCTAACGCTAACCCTTAACCTAACCCTAAACCTAACCCTAAACCTAACGCTAACCCTTAACCTAACCCTAAACCTAACCCTAAACCTAATGCTAACCCTAAACCTAACCCTAACGCTTAACGTAACCCTAAACCTAACTCTAACCCTTAACCTAACCCTAACTCTAAACCTAACCCTTATCTTTACGTGAATCGGCTTGCTTTAAAAGTACTTTAATCGGGCGCGCTTTAGTGGACCGCGGTTTTGTCGTGCCACGTTTTAGTGTAACTTCTTTTTCTTTTATGCTTTTTTTGGGGGGGGGGGAAGCAAGGGGCTGTGATTCGGATTCTCAGAAATTGAGAAATGCTGGCAGGGCTTTAAACTGGGGAAGTGTTTTCAAAATTCTCCATTTGTCATTAATTGTTTTTCCCTTTGCGGGGAAGATCCCTGCTTTGGGAAAAGTGTGAAGTCTAAAAAGCAGGATATGTATGTGTCAACATCCCAGCTTGAGCATCTCAATAAAACTCCAGGACCATTTCGTTTCTGGGAAGCTTAGTGTTTCTTGAATGCATGGCATGGTAATGGCGAGGTAAAACTAACTCTGAGATTCTCAGGCCCCCAATTCATCGTATTAAACAATGATTTTTCCCAGCCAAACCCCCCAGGCTTCCACATAGATCAAGTACACAAGTTTGTTATGGGAACTATCTGCCTCTTTCTTCACACCTGCTAAGACATCCTTGAAAGGTTTCCAGGCTCTTACAAGCTTCAGTGGAACTGTAGAAGTTTCGTTTCCCTAGTTACCATATTTTTAGGAGTATAAAACGCTCTCCCCCCCCCCCTAAAAGAGGGTGAAAATTTGGATGCGTCTTATATACCAAATGAGGCCCCGCCCACCCATCATCCCCCACCCTTTGGCCTCTTCCTCCCAGCAATTTGCCACCTTGCAACAAACAGCAAACAGCCTGTTTCAGCTTCAGCACAGCCTGATTAGCACAAGCAGCTGATTGTCAGTTGGATCAGCCTCCCAACCATCAGCTGTTTCAGACTGCAGGGATTGCCTATTGCCGCCTCCACAGGCCCAATTTTTGGTCTCCGCATCCCATTTTTGGCCTCTGCACACCCCGTTTTCGGCCTCCACACGCCCTGTTTTCCACCCATTTTGATCCCCACCGCCTGGAATGGGCGGAAAATGTGGCGCATGGAGGCGGCAATAGGCTATGGCAATTGAGAGGCCGATCCAACGGACAATCAGTTGCTTGTGCTAATCAGGCTGTGCTGTAACTGAAGCTGACTATTTGCTGCAAGGAGGCAAATTGCTGGGAGGCAGAGGCAGATTTTTTCCCCTTTGTTTTCCTCCCCAAAAGCTAAGGGCATCTTATACTTCGGAGCGTCTTGTACTCTGAAAAATACAGTAACCCATTCAGTGCCAAAGTTTTACTCTTGATAGTATGTTATCTTATTACCTACTTTGTCATTACCTATTTTTGTTGCTCTCCCGCTCTCCCGTAGCACCATTCCTATCGGAGTTTCTTGGGGCTGACTTGCCTGATGCAAATTTCTACCCGAACAGAGGACTTCATCATTGACCCGTTAGAACTACGCAGCGACTTGTACATCTTGAACGAAACTTTCACTGACCCTGCAATTGTCAAGGTGAAAAAAGGAGGCAGTTAAGGATGAGAAGGAGGCAGATTTGATGCAGGCAGGTTCCCTTTCCATCTAGTAGTCCTTCTGGAGTTAATTAAGCCTTTCTGGCTTCATGGGGGGGGGGGGGCTGCCACTGAGCCCACAGAGTTTTCCCAAAAGTCAGGGTTGCAGAGATGGGGAACTCATGGCCCCCTGGAACATCAGCATCCCTTTCCTCTGTGCAAACATCTGGATGTTGACTTTTCATCGGGGCAGAGGTGAAAGGAACTGAAATAAGTTGAAGGTTGCTGTCATGGCTGCATCTCTCCTCTCCAAGCTTCGTGAGCTGACAAACTGACATTAGCAATGGGGGGGGCAGGGGATTGGATTGTAAGGAAGAATGGGGGAATGGAAGCCCAGCTGAAGCTTGTGAGAAGTACAACTAGCCAACCAAGGAGATACTGAGCTGGGAACCGAAAACCTGTTTCAGGTGAAATGCTACCGGTTCAGGCCGGCTTGTCTGAACCGGTAGTAAAAACATGCTTAACAAAAAAAATTTTAAAAAAAAGTTCCGACGATCAACTGTGCTGTGCGATGGTAGGAACTTTTTTTAAAACTTTTTTTAAACTTTTTTTTTACATTTGGAGTCCGTTTTTGCTCCCAGGAGTCTTCCCTGAGGCCTGCTAGGCCAAAAATGTGGGGTGGGAGGGTGCTAAGAAAGGAAGGAAGGAAGGAAGGAAGGAAAGAAAGAGGGGGAGGGATAGGAGAAAAGGGAGAAAGAAAGCGGAAGGAAGGAAGGAAGGAAGGAAGGGAAAAAGGAGAAGGGGGAAGGACCACAAACCTGGCACTAGACGCAGCTTCAGAGGATACCTCGAAAGAGCACAGCAATCAGAGTCTCATTGCCTCAAGGTTGACTCAGCCTTCCATCCTTCCAAGATGGGTAAAATGAGGACCCAGATTGTTGGGGGCAAGAGGCTGACTCTGTAAAGCGCTTAGAGAGGGCTTTAAAAGCCTTTGCTGTGGCCCGCCAGCAGAGCTGGCAGCAGATTCAGATGGTGAGGAGGTTGGGGAGGAACCTGGGCCAGTCCTGGAGTCTGGGGAAGGCTCTGTGTCAGAGGCAGAGAGGGGGTCAGAGCCGGAT